ACTGGAAGGACTGGGAACCGGGGCACCTGGGTGGCTCAGTTGGTTAAGCATCTGCCTTTGGCTCAGGGTCCTGTGATTGAGCCCGACATCAGGCTCCCTGCTCAAGCAGGGAGCCTGCTTCTCCCTCTCCCTGTGCCCTTCCCTCCCACTTGTTCTCTCTCTCAAATAAATAAATAAAATCTTTTTTTTTAAATGAAATTTTAAAAAAAAAGGACTGGGAAACTGCAATTCAGTAGGAGCCCAAAGTAGGGGTCCCTGCCTCTTGGTGCCTTTGGGAAATTTTCCAAGTCAGCTTCCTAGAAGAGCCTGGTTTTTTGCTCTCTCTCTACCTCATGCTTTCCCTCCCTAACACAACTCTTTCCCCATGGTGTTCTCTCTACGACAGCATGCTCACTCAGTCTTTTCAAATGCACAAAACCACCTTATACAAATTAAGGAACACAGTCTCAAAATATCCAGTTCAGTAGACACAGATTCCCACCCTGGGCAGGCTATTAGCCATTATTACCAATCCCCTTTTCCTAATTTATTTTCTACCCTTCGGTGGTAACCTCATGCTTATGGCCAGAATTATTTTTCTTAGCATCCTTGAGTCATATGTATATACTCATATATCTAAAACATTGGGTATTATTTCATAAAGCAACCCTGAGAGATAGGTATATTTATTATTGTCATTACTATACAGGTGAGAAAATTGAAGCCCAGCCAATAAGTGACTTGTTTATGGTCCTCCTCCTGTTACTAAGATACAATTAGGATGGAATTTTTAAAAAAAATTTTTAAAGATTTATTTATTTATTTGAGAGGGGGAGGAGGGGGAGAGGGAGAGGGAGAGTGAACCTCAAGCAGACGCCCCACTGAGTGCGGAGCCTGACGCCCGGGGCTCGATCCCACGACCCATGAGATCATGACTTGAGCTGAAAACAAGGGTTGGAGGCTTAACCAACTGAGTCACCCAGGTGCCCCGGAATTTAAAATTTTAACTTTAAATCACCATACTATTTCCCAAATATTCCTTGCAGCTTCTAGGTAACCTTTCTCCATTCCAAGTCATACTACTCTTCAAAACTACCCAACCTTCTTGATTCCTATGGATTTTGTGCCTGAATTTCCTTGAAGTAAACCTCCCTCTGCTGGCCATTCTCTAGGACAAAACAGGAGCTTCTTAACTTCCATTTCCTCACTCTGTTGTTGGCTTCTCTGAAAATTCCAAACTCCTTCACCTTTCAGAGTTGATATAGACAGTAGAAAACAAAGGCTACTCTGAGTTTTACTATATCCTTTAGAGCACACATTAGACATGGAATAAAATAAAGTAAAAGTATATCTAAAACCCAGTTATATTTGGATTAAATCTATCCCGATCCATATAAGATTTGAAGGATAACATTTCCCCCAAAGAAAATCAGAGATTTTCATATATGTTATGAAAATCGTATATGGAAATAATCATCTGTATATTTCAGCTGGATTTTAGCTGGAGGAATCAGAGGCAAAGGGGAACAGCAGCAATTCTCTTTTTTTAAAATGTCATGTATTTGGAAGTTGGAGCTTAATATCTGAATAGCCATGAGAACCCTGAATAAAAGAAAGTCCAACTTGGCCACTGAACTAAAAGAAAAAAAGAGAAAAAAAGAAAAAAAGCTGGCTCTGACCTCTTAGGTGCTTTGGTGTACCTACCCCAAATCAGGCTCACCTGTGTTCACAGTGAAACGCCAGAATTGCTGCTAATTCATTTCTCCCCAGGCAGGTGAAACCAGGTAAAGACAACCACTCCTGTTTCACACTTCCCTTGAGATAATGGAAAGAATAACACATACCTTCACAAGGCAGATGAACTTCTCTTTGGAGATAAGTTTCCCACTATCTGTGAAAACTGGTCTGACGGTGGTACCATAAAGGCTCCAGGGTGCTTCCTTACCCCTTTAAACAAAGGATGAAAATGATAGGTATGCTCTAGGCACTGCATCCTTCCAGCCTCTTGGCTTCAGGCATCATAAAAGACAAAAGGTACTAGAAAGAGGGTGTTAAAAGAAGATTCAAACTGCACTCTTAAGGGAAAACTGTAATCCTGCCCCAGGTATGTAGTTTAGCATATGTAATCGAACCGTTTTAACATCTAGTTTCTTAAACGGATTCTTTTTACCAAGAAACAAACTCATGCATAAACTGCAACACACGGCATACTTCATATACATTATTGACATCATATGTTTACTAAAGATTCCTATGGGTACTGTCCCAGAGAAAATTCTGTTAGAAGGTAATCCTTAAATGATTCTTACAAACTTTATTTTTAAATAATTACCTATAAGAGAAAAGAAAATAGATTTTTTGGTAACTTTTTTTTTACTTATTTTACACCACTACTTGGTCATTCCTTTCCAGTGCTAATCTCCTGCTTTGTAGCCTCTATTTTCCTTTCTTCCACCTGTCAAACTCAGAAACCTTCATATTCCCTTAAGGAATAATCACACTTTGTGGCGCCTGGGTGGCTTAGTCGTTAAGCACCTGCCTTCAGCTCAGGTCACGATCCCAGGGTCCTGGAATCGAGCCCCACATCAGGCTCTCGGTTTGGCGGGAAGCCTGCTTCTCCCTCTCCCCCTCCCCCTGCTTGTGTTCCTTCTCTCACTGTGTTTCTCTCTCTCTCTGTCAAATAAATAAAATCTTAAAAAAAAAAAAAGAATAATCACACTTCAATTTCTGATGCTGCCCACCTCCTCTCATCTCATTTGCTGCCTCTCTGCCCTGGATATTTTTAGATTTGAATGGAGAATTTCACTGGGTGAATAGCCATTAGCTCTTGAAAGTTCATACCTAAGCATAGATGACCTTTTAATTCAGGTGCTCCTTTTAATAAAAAGATACCATATCACTCTGCGAAGTTAAAAAAAAAGTAAACATGTAGATTGTCTTTCATGCCAAAGAACCTACTCTTTGAGATCTTTGATTGCAGTGTATTTTTAATTTATTTAATTTTTAAAATCATTATTGTTCCCTATCAGTGATGAGGCAGAAAGCTATACATCTCCCCCTTGTGGTTTCTGTTAGTGTTTGCCTTTCAGTGTCCAATTTCTTCCAGTTCCAGTCATTCCCAATAAAACACTGTTAAAATGATCTTCCTAAACCACAACTCTGATATCACCCTCCTGCTCAAACTTCTAGTGGCTCACTATCACCTGCAGGATAAAATCCAAATTCCTTGCCATGGTCCACCTGAAATCCCTCTATTAAAATTATCTGTTTTTTGAAATCCTGTACATTCTTCAAGGCCCAAATTCCTCTTCCCCAACCCCCACCTAGAAGCACTCTCTCCATTTTGTGCTCTTAAACCACAACTGCCAGTAATTATAGGTATTTATGCCCATCTTATCTCTCACACTCTATTGTGAGTTTCTGGAGAACAGGAAGGGACAATGTCTTTTTCATCTTCCTGTTGTCCACACAGTTCCTTGAGCAAAGGCCTCAACAAATGTCTATAGAATTGAATAAAGTAGATACAGCTGTTAGTAAAATTAAAAGTCAGCATTAAGTTTTAAAAACAGAGGACACATTTAAAATGGATCGAGAGAGAATTGTATAGACCAGCCTTGTCCAGCAGAAATACAATACAAACTACTTGAGTAATTTAAAATTTTCTAGTAGCCAGATTTTAAAAATCAATGAAATTAACTTTAATAATATATTTTAGCCCAATTATTTTAACATGTAATCAATATAAAAATTACTGATGAAATATTTTACATTTTACAATTTTTTACATTTTTTTTTTACCCCGTCTTCTAAATCTAGCGGGTACTGACGATACATCTCGGTTCAAATTTGCCACATGTAAAAGTGCTTTATAGCCACATGTGGCTACTGGCTACTGTATTAAAAAGAAGTTGAGTCCGGGATAGGAACCAAGTCCTAGTCCTGGGTAACTGTTAGCAGTTTTGTTACCACAGATAAGACCTTTTCCACTGTTTATTTCTTGGTTTCCTCACCTGAAAAGGGGAGACATTTTTCTTACCATTCTTCTAGGGTTGTAAAGGCATAAAATTAGAAGCTGAAATGAGGACACTTTGGGAGGTTGAAAATGTCATACAAGTGGAAGGCACTGTAATTATTCCAAGAATAGAGTGAACTTCGAAATAGTTATTAATCTCTTCTTTAAAGAATCTGGATCCCACAGTCTCGTATGCTCCCTGATTTCTTCACTGACTTGACTCCAATAGGCAGGGTTAAGGGAGGATGCTGTCGCTCCTATTGAATATCTTCATTGGAGTAGCTGGGTATGATGAAGACAGGTTGTTCAGAAACACAAAGACAGATTTTGGATATTCGTATTCAGGTTAATTATGTGATGGTGAAAAGTAAGTTGCTTTCAATACGGAGGAAAAGGAAAAGGCAGGGCTCCAGTCAAAAGCATTTCAGCTCTGCAGGATCGACCCGCCATTTTCCATTTGCATAGTGTGTGCATGCCCCGGAGGGGCTTCTGTGAAACAGAAACACGTTTCCCACCGCTAAAGGGATAAATAATGGTCATTTATTATTAACATTTTAAGTGTTCTTTTGAGGAGTTTTAGGAGATTCTCTGCAGAGCTGTAAGTGCCTCTTCCCCAACGCTTCGGTTATTGCTTATTCACCTGCCGAGAGCTGATTTATCACTCTCACTGATATGGAAAGGTATATAAATTATTATAACTTCAGTTTTATGTACGGGGTGAGCCGAGGCAGCGCGAAACAGTTCCCTTTCGTGTGTGTTGTGACTCGCCTTTCTGTCAGCCTAGACTTATAGGAGGGCGCCTATAAGAACTCTGCTCAGTGGGAGCCCCCTTTCGCGTTCCCGCCGCAGGGTCCACGGCCCCGCCCTTCTTCCTCCATAGGTTTCCGGCGTCCCCACTCCGCGCCCCGGCGTTGTTGCCTAGGAGACCAGGCCCTGCCCTAACAACAGTGGCTAAGGGGCGGAGACTTCGCGTCTGCTCCCAAGAGCGAATACTCCAGGGCCGAGTGCTTCGGGCGCATGCGGCAACCTCCCCTTCGCTGTCGCGAGGTTTCGTCTTCCCGGAAGCCCTGGAGGACCGTCCTCGTGAACGGCGTCGGCATGTGTGGGGGATGTGTGGAGAAGGAGTATCCCAACCGGGTGAGCGAGTGGGCGCCGAGAACTTCTCGCTCCCTTGGCCCGGGGCCAGCCCCTGGGGCTTCTTGTAGCCCTCGGCTGGCCTTCCCTGAGAGGCTGGCCGCGGGCCGACCCAGCCGCTCTGCCCATTCCAGTGACCCCGTACCTGTAGTTAGGCACTTGATGGCGGGGGCGGCCTGTGGCCGTAGGTCCCGCCGGTCCCCGCCCTGGCGGCTGACGTCAGCCGTCACCCCGCTTCCCTTGAGCTCCGGGGGGACAACAAGGGAGACCCCCCCCCCCCAATCCAGTCCGACGACAAAGGGACACCACCCTCCCCCCCCCACCCCGGTCTCATTCTCAAGCTTGATTTGGTGAAATTCACTTTTCTTACTGAATTTTAGCGCTGGCAGGGACATCTGAGGCCATATGTTATAACCCAGTTTTGCAGATGAAACTAATGCCCAGAGGGGAAATCACTTGCCCAAGGTCACATTCTCTTAACAGGAGAGCCAAGGCCAGAATTCAGGTTTCGTGGCAGTTACTTTTTAAAAAATCTCGGCTCCTCTCAAGCTCGGGAGGTTGCCGAGCTTGTTTACTCTCATGCATTGAAGGTATACTTACTGAACATTTATGTGTGTAGCTAGATTACTTTGCTAGGCCAGAAAGGGATACCAAAGAGGAAATAGGCAGCTTTCGTTGCCTCCTGCGGAGTATGTGATTAACAAAAGATGAGTAGTACAGTTCATAAATTCTGTTCGAATTCTGAGAAAGGGGAGAGAAAGCGCTGTTCTCCCAAAAGGAAGGTGAACTTCCTTTGGGACTTGAAGGCTCGCTGTGACTAGGGTAGAAAAGAAGGAAAGGGGGAGCCAGAGGCTTGGGGAATATAACAAGAACAAGAATTCTTGTAATTGGAAGGTAGAAAATCTATAGTTGTTTCTGTCTCAATATCTTGAGTAGTAAGTAGTCTTTGGGGAAGGATATATAACAAGAACACTCATGGTACAGCCTCCTTGGAAAAAGGATTAGCAGTATCAAATGAAGATACACATACTGAATGACCCAGCATTTCCCATTCTAGAGAAATAAATGCGTTACATATGTTCCTGGAGACTTGTATAAGAATGCTCATAACAGCAATTTTTGTAGTTGTACACTGGAAAAGTGTGATACCGTCACAGAATGGAACACCATGAATAAATAATGAAAGTGAATTAATTAGAGCAGTGGTTCTCAACTAGGTGAGATTTTGCCTCCCAAGGGACACTTGGCACTATCTGTAGACGTTTTTAGTTGTCACCCTGGGGGTACTACTGACATCTAGTAGGTCGAGGCATTACACTGTGTATTTATGTTTCATATACTTTATTATGTTCTATTTCATACTTTTTTAAAAGTGTAAAAAATTTTTATGAATCCAGTAATGAACACTGCACTTTCCAGAGACCACACGTGGGAGGTGTTTGTAGTGAAGAGTATTAAAGGGATTAGGTTGGATTCTTAAGAATTGAGCTAATCAAAAGACTTAAAAATTGTATCAAGTTTAGATTCTACACTTCAGGCATTGGGCATCCATCAAGAAAATCAAATAGGGAAATAATTCTGAAATCTGTTATTTAGGAGAATGAATCTTATGACTGTATATTTAGGTTATGGTAGGGGGGAAATGTAAAAGGGAGAGCCCTACAGAATATTTGGGGAGCCATGGCAACAGTAGTGTAGGCATGAGATAATGAATACCTCATCTCAAGGAAAGAATTACTAGAACTCAGCCAATTTAATGGAGGGAGGAGCTATAGGTGACCTTAGGGTTTTCAATCTATGTAATTGGGAAATTGGAAGTATCATTACAGAAATTGGAGGCATATGGGAGAGAGAACGAAAATTGGGGTGCACATGGTCAGATTGTTTTTATCATGTTTCATCCAAGATTGAGAATGTAACATCCAGGGAATCAAGTGAAAATACAAGATTGCAGTTTAGGTGTGAAATTCAGACAGATGAGTTAGAAAAGGATTGAGGTGATTGGGAAACCAGAAAAGTGCCTTCCATTGGCAGTTCTTTCTGACTTTATTCTGTTCTAAAATAATTAAAGGGCTGTCATTCTGGAATTTCAGAAGGCAGATTTAGAAATCATTGGTGGGTGGATGTTATTGGGTTGTAGGCTTTGAATCAGAACAAAGAACTTTCTAACAGATTTTCAAAAGTGGAATGGGCAACCCTTGGAGAAATTGAACTCTCTTCCCGTTGTTCAGTAGAGACTGACCATTTGAAATCTGAAAGGTCCTTCCAACTCTGGGAGTTTTCGAAATCGTGATATTTCTGAGGGCAGTAAGAACAGAAGCCACTTGGAGCTTAGCAAAGGAAAGGACAGTAAGATGATGGTAGCAGGTATAGTGTATTCATCCAAAAAACTGTCAGAGAAAAATAATGAATTAGCATATCAACAAGTTCTAAGTGTGGAATGAGTAGGTAATAAATAATTACCTTTGGTTTCATAAAATTTTCTGGAGATTTGTGGTAGATATTTTTCACAGATGAGGAATACTAGTCTTAGAAGACAAACACAAATAGTGAAAGAAAAAGTTTGATAAATTGGACTTAACAAGAATCAAAACTATCTGCTCTTCAAAAGACATTATTTAAGAAATGGCACACCGATAATAGGGAGAAATATTTGTAATACAAATCTGACAGGATTTATATCTAAGATAGATCAAGAACTCTTCCAACTCAATGACTCTTACAACTCTTACAATTGCTGTTTGGCAATGAAAAGCAATGAGCTACCAATACAACAACACAGATGATTAATATGGACAGAACAAAAGAAACTGGATGCGGAAGAGTATACTGCATGGTTCCATTTATATAAAATTTTATAGGAATCGGATCAAGGGGTGCCTAAGGTGAGATAGGGGTTGGAGATAGACTGCAAAGCCTGAAGGATGTCCTAGGAAGACAGAAATTTTTATATCTTGGTTGGGATAGTGGTTACATTGATACATATATCTTAAAAAAGTCATTCACCTATACCCTTACATTGTATTTTACTATATAGAAGCTGCACTTCAGTGATGTTTATTTTTAAGAAAATCAAAGCCAAGCACCTGTTCTCAATAGCTGGAAATTTATACTTTAACCCCAAGGCCTTTTTTCCCCTTTAGTAGTTAAGTTGATGTGCTTGTGATTTAGTATCTCCCAACTATATAGTTAGATTGATTTCTTCGCTTCCACCCACCCCCGCCCCTACAGAGTTAATCTCTTCCTTAATATATAGCATCAAGGAGCCACTCAAAAGGGAGAGGTTAACTGTGGTGCTGGGAATCCAGGAAGACTTCACTGTGGCATCACTTAAAGCTGGTCTTCCTGATAGTTCATAAGCTCCTCGGAGGAGGAAAGAGGTGACTCATCCTCTGATCCTTCACAGTGCTTTTGCACGGTATCAGGCACATAGCTACGTTGGAGAAATGTTGATTTGATTGGTTTTTAGTCACATCAACTGTTAAAAATACTCTATGTATTGGTCAGAAATGAAGTTGAATTAGATTATTTATAAAATGATTTTCTGAACAATTATTAGTAAGCCTTTGCAAAGACCTCCCTTGAGCTAGGAGCATAAGTTGTTTACAGTTTCTTAGTGATGAAGCAAATCCCTTTCTCTTTCGAATGCCATGGTGTCAGTCTGATGAATTGCAGAGCTTATCTTCTCTGCCTGAATCACACATACCCTTGAGGATTGGCATCTGTAGAGATGAGAGTTTATTCTTGTTTGCTTATTTTGTGTTATTTTTTAAGGCATCAGAAAATGCTATTTCAACAGTCAACTGAGCATCACATTGTAAAAGATCATTTTTATCATTAGTTCAGTATTTCCATTTTGATTGAATTTTAATTCTAGTTTTATGCTATGCCTCATTTAATATTGGCTATTAGATTTTTCTAATTTTTCCTTTTCACATTTTACATTATTAAAGCTTCATTAAGTTTCTCAATATCCATTTGCATTTAGTCCTCAAACACAGTTGCAATCCTCAGAGACTTACAGCTTAACACTGCTTCAGTTTTATTTGCCATAAATAGCCTTCTAGAGGAAAGCTAGTAATTTCAAAAATTACTTGGTACAGACTTCAAGCAAGTAAATTCTGGCCATGTTTTTTTGCCTTTAGAAATTTTTAGTCTATTAATTATTTTCACTAAGGGTTTTGAAATAGAAGAAAATTAAATTCCTATTTTTAATATTTTAGGGTAACATCTGCCTGGAGAATGGATCTTTCTTGCTGAACTTTACAGGCTGTGCAGTGTGCAGTAAGCGGGATTTTATGCTGATCACAAACAAATCTTTGAAAGAGGAAGATGGAGAAGAAATAGTTACCTATGATCGTAAGTAGACTTTTTATTTTCGTGCAAGTCTGGGAGCAGATACCAGCTTTTGAAAGCTAATAGGTTGTACCTACTGATACGTTGTGTTTTATACGGCCATTTCAATATTGTATTGCAACAGAGTTGCTAGTTTGGTTTTTAAGAGGAGAATAAAGATGATGCTGACATCATCAGACTGCATAAGTGACTTCTGTAGATAACTGAAGCTAATGATTCAGGGACCATTTTTTGTTTATTTTAAAAGTCTTTATGCCTTCTGAAACAAGAGAGACTTTTTTTTTTAACCTTAGGATCGTTCATGTTAGTTTTCTTTTTTGACCGTAGTCTAGTACAGTGTTGTTCTCCAACAGCTCCTGAAGTGTTTAGGGCTGTTCGCTGCCATACTACATGACCCTGGGCTGTTATGGTGTTTTAGTTTTGTTTCTGCTCTCATAACCTTCTTTGTCTCCTGTCTCATCATCCGCCTGTTGTGTCTTTTGCTGTGCTACCTTCATCTGCTGCTCCTTATCCTCAGTACTGGGGAACCAAATAAACTAGGTATAATAAAAATGAATTTGTTCTGAGGTTGGCACTCTAAGAATTTCTCTGAGTAAATTAAGTATGTGTACATTTTAGTCCCCAGGTACGGTGACCAGAAATTAAACTGTTCATATCCCCTTTTTGCTTGTCTCCTGGTTTGAGTATGTTGGTATGTTCTGAAATATGAGGAATAAATGTGCAAATAATGATATTTTAAAAAGGAATATGAAAGATACTAAGCCTTTAGAATTGAGTCAGACTATTGAAAATGTTCTAAAGTAGAATAATCCTTTTTCTTTATTTTAGGCATAACCCTTTAAACTCTAGTTTAAAGAGGTAGTAGGACATAGCGGTTAAGAGCAAGAGCTCTGGAGCCAGAATGCATGGGTTTGAATTCTGTTTCCAACACTTCCTACCTCAGTAGTCGTGCTAATTACTTAACGGTGTGTGGCTTTGTTTCTGCTAATTACTTATCGGTGTGTGGCTTTGTTTCTTTACCTTAAAAAGGTGGTAACAATAGTATCTACCTCTTTGGGTTTTCAGAAGATTAAGTAAACAGATAAAAAGTATTTAAAAGCGTATCTGGCACACAGTAAGCACTCAATAAATCATAGTTATTATATGTTTTTACTATAGTCTTTTGTTACTATTAAATTCACTTTAATGTCTAGCATTGCTTTTTTATTTATAATTGTTTTTAGTAGCACAGTTTCTATAAGTCCTGAGAATGGGAATTAATATATGTCTGTTAAATCTCTGAGTTGAGGCCCTTCATTATGTAGTGTTGCTATGTGATGGATTTTGGATTTCTTATCCAGGTAGATATTATAATGGGTTTCCCACTGCTGTGTTAAATAAATCAGTTAAGATTCTTTTAAAGCAATACCATGCTAAAATAGAAATTTTACTGTCTTAAGACACCTTCCAAGACTTAATAACTTAAGTCTCTCTGTGTTTCGGCAGATCTGTGTAAGAATTGTCATCACGTAATAGCCAGGCATGAGTACACATTCAGTATCATGGATGAATTTCAGGTAAATGTATAAATGTGGTATGTTATTGTGGGGGAGGGGGAATAATAAAAATACTTTCGTAAATCTACATATAGTTTTAATAAATGAAGTACTAGTAAATATTAAAGGAGACCATCCTTCTCTTCTACTTGTGTACGTTAAGAGAGACACTTTAGACCTGAGTGTATCTGTTCAAACCTGTCTCCATAAGAGTCACAAGTCAAGATGCATGCCTTACAAATGATATCTCAGGCCTGTCCTGTTTGTTTATGAAGAACAGCACATTGTGGGCTCTTATGAGGTTTTTTTCCCTGCCCAGTTATGTAATTGCACAGTTTTTGGTTTTATAAGTGTTGGCCTGCCCACTGCCCCCATACTTGCTGAGCATGGAAATTCTGATAAGGAGGTTATCTTTGTCTTCCCCCGCAGATATATAGACTCGAGCAACTCTGTAGTCTCAGTTGTGGTAAGACTTTTTAATATAATTCATTAAGTAAAATGACAGGATGGATGTATCAAGGTTGGAGGAAAGAAGCTGGACCACCATAAGGATAGAGAATAAGTATTATAAGGATGAGGCCTTGTACAATCGTGAGAGCACATGAAGAATTGTACAGAAGGCTACTGTATGCCTGAGTTGAAGATTCACAGATCTGGTGGTCGGGAAGAAAAGCTGGACAGTGGGGCAGAGCCAAGGGTAAACTGGAAACCATAAGGACACACTGGAACCTGTGTCTGTCCCTTACTGCCCCCATTTTCAAGCTTTCAGATTGAGTTACTTACTTAGAGTGAACTGTGTATTCATCTATAGGATATAAATATCATGTTAGAGCTTTTAACAGACGGGAATTTTTTTAAGTCCTTCAAATTTGGGTAGGATTTTAATGAGAAAAAAATAATAATCTTCCATAACAGAATCTTACAGTGTAACCACTCTCATTCATTCATATTTTAGTGTAGAAGAAAGCACTTATTCACCTGTCAAAATCTGGTCTGATACGTTGTGGTTAATCTGTACAACATCTTGACCACATCTTCTTAGCATCCAAAAATTATGCCTCGGAAAATGTTTATATGTTATGTGTAACTTAGGGCAAAAATCAAGATCTCAGTGAATGAGTAGTGGCTAAATAGGGGAGGGAGCATATCATGGACTTAAAGGAGCAGCTCTGTCCTTCCATGAGAGGAAAGGGGGGCTTACAGCCATTTTGCAGAAGCTCCTGAAGCCACCGTGAGTTTTTCAGAGCCCTAAATGGGTATTAAGGTTGCCGTAATGAAGCCATCGTCTCTTACTGCTGGGTGAGCCAAGTCTAGCTGGTTTTCCTTTATGACTGAATACAGCCATTTTCAAAGCTGCCCCAGAAATGACTCTGGGGTAGGAAGAAGAAGATAAAGGAAGATGGCTTGTACTCACGATGCCTAGTTAGTGAAATTCTCTTGGAAAAAAACCCAACTCTTAAACCGGGCTCTACACTTCATCTTCTCTCTCAACATCTGCTTCCCTCCACCTGTATTCTATATCCCTCCATCAGATTCATTTCCTGGAAGTGATGCTTTAGACCACTGCTTTGGCCTTTCCATAGCTCATTTTAGCTACAGTGTAATATCTGACCTCATTTCGGGGTCATCACGGGGCTGGCCACCTTCCCTTTCTCTTCTTTCCCACTAGTCTCTTTGGCTCACCACAGATAGCATTGTCCAACCTCAGACTTCTCTCCGTCCCAGTAGAGAGGAAGATTTTTATTCCTTCCTCTCTAAGGCTACCCTTTCTGCCTTTCCTCACCAATCTCCTCTCTACCCAGCATCTTCTTTGTGTCCCTGGGATTTAAAATATTTCTTACAGTAAATATACTCGAGCCTTCTTTTGTTAAAAAGTAAGTTAAAAATCCTTTCATTTCACTCAGCTACCTCTGTGATTCATCTTCTAATCATCTCTGTCCTTCCTTTTGCTTCTTTACTTGAATAAGTCTTTACCCTGCTCTCCTTATTTCCCTGTGCTGCTCTTAACCACCTGCAAACTGCTTTTCATTTTCACTTTACTGAAACTATTCTCTCAGAGTTCTCCTATCATGTAACCGAATGCCATGATCTTGCCTCAGTTTTTAGCTCTTTTAACATCCCTCGTGGGTCTGGTTGTGTCAACCATTGTGGATTTTGAAGGATTTCTTCCCTTGAGGTCCATAGTGCCAGACTTTTTTCTTTCTTTTTAAGTCATTTTGAGTCCTCTTTTGCCTTCTCCCTGGTTTCCTTTACTATTGTTCCCTAACTGATTTCCCCTGAGCTTTGGTCTCTGGTCCGGAACCTTCTCTTTACTTTCTCGGATAGTGAGCACACACACACTCAGGCTCACTTGAAACCTATCAGCTGTCTCCCAAGTGTCCTTCTTTAACACTAACACTCTGCCTGCCCTCCTTTCTTCCTTTGTTTCTCTTGCCTTTTTTGGCCTTGCTGCCACACCTCATGGCAAGGACCATACCCACTCAAACCTAAATTACTGCAGCAGCCCCAAGACTCTAGTTCTATACACTGCCGTCAAATGAATCTTGCTCAGATATGTCATACTGCCACTCTCGCTACTCCAAATGGGATACGCTTGCTTTCTCCCTATCCCTGTCCTTATTCGTGCTTTTTCCCTGACTTGACTAGTCCCTTTCTCTACCTTCAAGTCAACTAAATCTTACCTCTTTGAAGCAGAACTTAAATTCTGTCTCCTCCTTGCTCTTTTTTTTTTTTTTTTTTTTTTAAGATTTTATTTCTTTGACGGACAGCGAGAGAGGAAACACAAGCAGGGGGCGTGGGAGAGGGAGAAGCAGGCTTCCCGCGGAGCAGGGAGCCCGATGCGGGGCTCGATCCCAGCACCCTGGGATCATGACCTGAGCCAAAGGCAGACCCTTAAGGACTGAGCCACCCAGGCACCCCTCCTCCTTGCTCTTGATAGTCCAGCCCATACTGCTTTCCCCCTTGCCTTGTACCTATAGCGGCCCCTGACTCATGTGAATAGCCCCTTGGGAACTTCCTTCTCAACCTGATGGGCACAAGAACTCTTTGTTCTCAGCTTGGACAACCTACTTCCTCGTCCCCACCCTACCCCAGCACCTGTTTCACTTTAGCAGTAGTTCAGGTTCAAGGTGGAATTCCCCACATTGGTAATGTTTTGTTTTAAACGTCTTATGGGCAGAAGTAGGCAGAATAGTGTTTTAACCTCCACCACCCAGCTTCAGTTTGCTTTATTTTGTATCTCACCATTCCCATGTCTCCCTACAGGATTATTTTGAGTCAAATCCCAAATATATCACTCACTACTTCTGTAAATATTTCAGTACATATCTCTAAAAGATAAGAATTCTGTTTTTAAGATAACCACAATATCGGGGTGCCTGGGTGGCTCAGTCGTTAAGCGTCTGCCTTCAGCTCAGGTCATGATCCCAGGGTCCTGGGATCGAGCCCCTCATCGGGCTCCCTGCTCTGCGGGAAGCCTGCTTCTCCCTCTCCCACTCCCCCTGCTTGTGTTCCCTCTCTCGCTGTGTCTCTCTCTGTCAAATAAATAAAATCTTTAAAAAAATAAAAACTAAAAAAAAAATAACCACAATATTATTGTTAAAGTGAGATTTTCTGATGGCATAAGTCGGGGGGGGAGATAGAAGTACAGAGTTTAAACAGAAAATACATTATAAATGATTATAGATATCCTTTATTTTTTGTATCACCCTAAAAGCCACTGAAAGGACTGTGTATTTGCCTCAGGAAACCAAAGGGGAACTGTGAGACTGCCTTCTGTTCCTCTGTGGACTAGGGAAGGAGAGGACTTGGGGTCAGAATTAATAGGTAGTAATAGAAGAAAAAGGCTGTGGGCCCTTCAGAACAAAGCAGAGGATCTGGTCTTCCCAAAGGTGATTCCACACACTCCACCCTTCCTTCCAAATCTCTATCCCTGTGCTTTGCCCATGGAGCCTTTGAGGTTTTCCATGAATGACTGGGGGGGGGGATCTTTTTTTTTATTATTTTTTTTAAAGATTTTATTTATTTATTTGACAGAGAGAGACACAGCGAGAGAGGGAACACAAGCAGGGGGAGTGGGAGAGGGAGAAGCAGGCTTCCCGCGGAGCAGGGAGCCTGATGCGGGGCTTGATCCCAGGACCCTGGGATCATGACCTGAGCCGAAGGCAGACACCCAACGACTGAGCCACCAAGGCGCCCTGGGGGGGAATTCTTACTGTCCCAACTTGGCCAGTTTTGATAAAAGGTGTCCTGATCTTGGCAGCACAGGAGGATGTGTTCCTGACATTCCAAGTTAGAATTCTAGACTTGTTTTCCCACAGAAGCACTGCGATGTATGGTTAGATTCTATAGTACTTGTACAGTATGAGTTTGAAAGACTCCCTGGAATTTCCTGGGGAAACCTAACTGCTGTGTACAACATTGCTTCTATGGGAGACTGCTTTTGAATTACACATAATTGACCTACAGTGAAATTTGGATTCCAGACCAACTATAAAGATTTCAAGTATAATAAGTCTTACTTATTTAATAACCTTTTCAGATTATACCACGTGTTAGGTTTTTTTCTTACTCTCAAGTTAGATTGTAAATTTTGCAAGGTCAGACCTTGTCCTTGCCTTCTCTCATGTCTGCCAGTGCACCTAGCGCATTGCAAAGCATTTAGGCACTGAATAAAAACTTGTCGATGGATAGATTGGGTGAAAACTCAGATGTTTGTCTAGCTTCACACGTTTTCCCGTTTTGACTTCATTATTGTTTTCTTCTTCATTGCCAGTGAGAGGTTCACATCCTACTAGTAATGTCTGGCAGGTGAAAGCAGAAGTATTTGAGAGCAGTAAAAGACCTTGTAGAGGTCTTTTAGAGGGTGGATTTTTATTTCATTGTTTTAGAAAGATTTCTTTATTTTTGGGGGGAGGGGCAGAGGGAGGGAATTTTCAAGCAGATTCCCTGCTGAGTGCAGACCCTGTTGTGGGCCTCGATCTCATGACCCTGAGACCATGACCTGAGCCGAAACCAAGAGTTGGACACTCAACTGATTGAGTCACCCAGGCGCCCCTATTTCATTTTTTAATTTATGAAACCTGTATTTGTTCTCTGAGCTTTAGCCCCTATTTATCTCTATTGTGTGTGTAGTGTTCACTTCAGCAGCACATATACTAAAATATCTCTATTGTGTGTGTAGAGGAGACCTTGAAATTAAGTGTGGTCTTTAAGAAACAATCTCTCTCTTGCCACAACTAAGCTCCCCCACTGAACTCACTTGTAGGAAACAGAAATGCACTTGTCTGGGTTCTGAGTCTTTGAACCATAGTCATTGTTTATCTCTGTGACCCTCTGTCTAGTGACTATCCAGACTCATGAAACACAAACTGCCTTGACTGACCAACTCCCAGACAGCTAACAATCTCAGTTTGAAGTGTGAAATACTAATAGATTTAGCATTAAGTTTGTTTTCCTAAAGAAGATAAGAAAATTTTTAAGCAAATCTTGAAATATGTGTGTATAGTTTATGACCCATATTAAATATTCTAGAAAGGGTAACTATAAAAACAGAACTTTGCCATAGGAGTTTTCCCTAAAACAAAATCTCTTCCATCACCAGCCTGGACATTTTTAAAAATCTTAATTCCAGTATCATTAACATGCAGTGTTAGAGTAGTTTCAGGTGTACAAGATAGTGACTCAACCCTTCCATACAACACCCGGTGCTCATCAGAACAAGTGCACTCATTAATCCCCTATTCCTATTTTCCCCATCCCCCTTTCCCCCACCCACCTCCCCTCTGGTAGCCATCAGTTTCTTCTCTGTAGTTAAGGGTCTCTTTTCTTGGTTGAGTCTCTCCCTCTTTTCCTTTGCTCATTTGTTTCTTAAATTCCACATATGAGTGAAATCATATGGTATTTGTCTTTCTTTGACTGACTGACTTCACTTAGCATGATATACTCTAGGTCCATCTGTGTCATTGCAGATGACGAGATTTCATTCTTTTTTTTTTTTTAATCAGCCTGGACATTTGTTAATCCCAAGAAACATAAATTCCCGAAATAGATCAAATCCAGACAGCTAGCTATCTAAATATGAGGCATGACATACAAGTAGATTTAACTTAATTGTTTATTTTCCTGGAGTAGGTAAAAATAGTTGTTTTAGTTTGGGATCTTTCTTTCATTTTAAAAAATCATTTCTGTTGCTTAGTAGTCTTAAATAATCTAGAAAGGAGCAACTCTAAGAATAGGAATTTGTCCTTAGGGACCCACACTCATTGCTTCACTACTTTATTTTATTTTAAAAAATTATTTATTTCGGGCGCCTGGGTGGCTCAGTTGGTTGGGCGACTGCCTTCGGCTCAGGTCATGATCCTGGAGTCCCAGGATCGAGTCCCACATCGGGCTTCCTGCTCAGCAGGGAGTCTGCTTCTCCCTCTGACCTTCTTCCCTCTCGTGCTTTCTATCTCTCATTCTTTGTCTCTCTCAAATAAATAAAATCTTTTTAAAAAAATTTATTTATTTATTTGACAGAGAGAGAGCACAAGCAGGGGGAGAGGCAGAGGGAGAGGGAGAAGCAGGTTCCCCACTGAGCAAGAAGCCCGACACGGGGCTCAATCCCAGGACCGTGGGATCATGACCTGAGCTTCTGAAAGCAGACGCTTAACCAACTGAGCCACCCAGGCACCCCATATTTTATTATTTTTTAAAGATTTTATTTGTTTGAGAGAGAGAGAGCTAGCACAAGCAGGGGGAGTGGGAGAGGGAGAAGCAGGCTCCCTATTGAGCAGGGACCCCGATGCGGGGCTCGATCTCAGGACCCTGGGATCATGACCTGAGCTGAAGGTAGATGCTTAATTGACTGAGCCACCCAGGTGCCCTGCTTCACTACTTTAAATAGCAGCACTAGGGGCACCTGGGTGGCTGTCAGTTGAGCATCTGGCTCTTGGTTTCGGCTCAGATCATGACCTCAGGGTGGTGAGATCGAGCACACCCCACCCCACCCCATGGGGCTCCATGCTGAGTGTGGAGCCTGCTTAAGGTTTTCCCTCTCCTGGGGCGCCTGGGTGGCTCAGTTGGTTAAGCGACTGCCTTTGGCTCAGGTCATGATTCTGGAGTCCTGGGGTCGAGTCCTGCATTGGGCTTCGTGCTCGGCAGGGAGTCTGCTTCTTCCTCTAACCTTACTCCCTCTTGTGCTCTTGCTCTCTCTCTCAAATAAATAAAATAAAATCTTAAAAAAAAAAAGATTTTCCCTCTCCCTTTGCCCCTCCCCCCACCCCCATTAATGTGCACATGCACACCCTCTCTCAAATAATTAATAGCAGCACTAATCAAGCCCAGTATGTGTTTGGATTTTTTTTTTTTTTTTAAGAGAAGGAAGGTGGGAAGGGGCAGAGGGAGAGGGAGAGAGAGAATCCTAAGCAGGCTCCACGCCAAGCACTGAACCTGATGTGTGGCTCTATCTCACGACCTGAGCCGAAATCAAGAGTTGGACCCTTAACTGACCGAGCCACCCAGGTTCCCCTAGCCCAATATGTGTTTTTAGTCCAAGAAATAGCCATGCATTTCCAAGATGACATTCTTGTGTACCTAGTAAATAGAGTATCAGCATGTATTCAGTTTACATGAACAAAAGACTCCAGGATACACAGAATAAACCTAAGACATCCCTGATAGGTGTTGAAGAAATGGATCTAATGTGCAGAAGGAATATCCGTTCCAATTTATAGAGAATAGCTTTACCAGAGTAAGTTATGAAGTGTCTTTCTCCTATTCCTCAATGTAATTATGCACTTTATCTTATTCTAGGAGTACACCATGCTGTGTCTGTTATGTGGCAAAGCTGAAGATACTATCAGTATTCTCCCTGATGACCCTCGACAAATGACTCTGTTATTCTAGGATCTTTCTGCAGTTCTGTAGTAACTATGTTGTATTGGTTTACAATACAGCAAGCCTCATGGTTTGTCTTACTTTGTTTATAATGGAAATTATTTTGCATATTTTTTTCTGCTTAGACTTAACTATCCTTTGAAAGAAAAAGTAATTTAGGGGATTATATTCTTCTGCTGAGCTCTTCTGCTAAAGTTCCCAGTTCACATCAAAATGAAGACTCTCTATTAGAAGTTATGTGGCTAGAAAATAAAACTAGAATGGGAGCATACCTAATGCCCAGGTCTTAGTCCCAATAAAAGGAACCAGGGCTCCTTGGAGAAATGATTGATTCTAGGACTGGGGCAGTAAATATACACGATGAGCTTGGAGCATTTTGTGCCACAAGGAAAGTGCCAAAAAACCCCCCCAAAAAACCAAACCAAAACAAAACAAAACAAAAAACCCATAAAACACAATGATTGGAAGTATGTCAAAAGGACAAAAGAGCCAACTGAAGGAGCTCCCAGTGACTGAAGTTGGAATAGTTTCAGCAACAAAATAAAGTAGTATTGAATTATAACCTAAACGCTAAATATTCATTAGTCATTACTGATAAAAATAAATGATTGAAAAAATAAATACAAAGATTGGAAGAATAGACATGCAGAAGAATTTCAAATAATATATGTAGATACTTCCCACTCCTTAAGGATGGGTTATGCATAGCAGCTTCCTTCCAAAGAGTAGAGTAGGGTATGCCAAGGGAGAAAAGTGACTTTACAGTGGAAAAATCTGACAAGCACTAGCTCCACCAAATGACCAAGATTAACATCCTCAATGATAACCCTATCGATAATAGCATGTACCCTTGATAAGATGTGATGAAAGGGTACTTTACCTTTGTGGTCTTCCTCCCCCAAACCCATAACCCCAATCTAATCATGAGAGAAACATCAGAGAAATCCCACTTGAGGGCCAGCTTACAAAATAACTGACAAGTACTCCTCAAAATTGTCAAGGCCATAAAGACAAGTTTGGGAAACTCGCACAGCCAAAAAGAGTGTAAAGAAATGTGACAACTAAATGTAATGAAGTGTCCTGGGACAGAAAAAGGACATTTGGTTAAAACTAGCAAAATCTGAATATGGGCTTTAATTAATATATGTAAATAGAATGATTTCAACTGCTCCAAAGAAATCTTAGACTATCTCACCTTGTATAGTTGAAAGAACACTGGCTTGGGTATCAGAAACCCTGGCATTTAGGTCTGTCTTCCACTTGGTAGCAGTATAACCATTAAGCAAAGCATAACTCTGGTCTTTATTGTCCCATTTCTATTAGATTGGGCTGATAAAAATTCACTGTATTGTTCAAAGATCAAATGAATAATGAATGTAAATTGCTTTAGAAAGCATATAAAGTACTATATGCAATGAGATGGCTTTAGTTAGTTCTAAGACCAAAACTTAAAGGGTCAGACATTAGAAACAAAATTATTTCCTCTTTATATCTAAGAAATTTGGAAATTCTAAACTAAAGCTTTGCTTATAAGGGAAAAAAGTGAGTAAAGTGTCCATTGTTGATACCAGGGAAGTTTTGTTATATAACAGGAATAATAATAATGCTGAGGTTTAGGGCGCCTGGGTGGCTCAGTTGTTAAGTGTCTGCCTTTGGCACGGGTCATGATCCCAGGGTTCTGGGATCGAGCCCCGCATTGGGCTACCTGCTCAGTGGGAAGCCTGCTTCTCCCTCTCCCACTCCCCCTGCTTGTGTTTGCTCTCTTGCTGTGTCTCGCTCTGTCAAATAAATAAATTAAAAAAAAAAATGCTGAGGTTTATTGAGTACTTACTACGTGCCAAGGCCTTTTTAAACACTTACTTTATCCTCATTAACAACTCCAGAAAGTAGGTACTATTGTTATCCCAATTTTAGAGCCAAAGAAACTAAAGCACAAAGAAGTTAAGGAACTTAAGGTCACACAACTAGTACAGTGACTCCGTCTCAACACTGTTGTTCACAACATATGAAGTATAAGGGTCTGGCAAGGTGAGGAAGAAGTTGAGAATGTCAGCGACAACACTCAGGAATCTAGGCATGTCAGACCAAGATTTATTCAGAAAAGTTAAGTCATCTGCTCCTTAGGGATCGGTTGTGTTATTCCTGGAAAATGTTTTCCACTTTTCTGCAAATCTATATCTGACCTGCTGAGGAAATCGTTCGGTGAAATGGATCCAGAAAGCAGAGAAAATGCTTCATTACTTTAAATAGCAGCACCAAGCCAATTATAGCCTCTGAATTGTCCCTTCTTGGAGTTTGCTAATGCTTCCAACTTAGTCATTTGGAGCTCAAGAGTATGATTTTATAAGCCCCAACTGATACCTTCGTCTATTATAGACTGTATAATTATCTGTTTTGGACTATATATTACAAAACTTATAAGATCCTATCTACATTTGTCATTATTAAACCAACTTTATGCTGTATTTTATGACACTTTATTTTTTAGAATTCTTCTATGGATCTAATCAAATAAAGACCTCTTGAACCCAGTTCTACTGAATCCAAATTTTTCTTTTCAAATAAAGGGGAGCCAGGCAAAAATATCAGTTTACTTTCCTTCCTGGGATACAAGAAAGAAAAGGAATCATCGATAGATGTAATTGGGAAAGTGGGCTTGTCCTGGCTCCTCGTTCTTTGTCTGCTTGCTCCATGATGTATAGATCTGGAGTCTGCATGCTTAGGCTCTTGGAGTTAAAGCTCAGCATGTTTGTTTTGTTGTTTTAGCTGGCCCAGTCTTTCTCAAATGGTCTTGGCTTCTCCCAGTACTAATTAATTGATATATGATATATTGGGGGCACAACCAGATATGGTTCGTTACTTACAAGGAATTACTAAGAAGTGTATGTTCGCTGCTCTTTATCAAGAATTCTTTGTTTCATTTTTTTTTTTTTTGTGAGCAAGGTTAAGTTACTTCACTGAATTTGAGGTTCTCCCTTTTAGGTTGTGTGTTTCTTGACTATAGTACAGTCTCTATTTTGAGGTACAGTATGGTTGTATAGAAGGAAAACCAAGAGACCTAGGTCTAAAATGAGCTTTGCCACCTGCTCATGTTGGGACATTGAGCAGGTAACTTATATGCACCTCGGCTCTTCAGTGGAAAAATAGAAATAATCATGCCTCCTGCACAGTTTTTAAATCAAATGATATAACGTAAGTGAAAATGTTTTTAAGTTGTGCAGTGCTGTGTACAGGCAGCTCTCAGTGGTCTTTCTGAAGGAACTATTGTGTTGTATTTAAGAGTACAGGCTTTGGGGCGCCTGGCTGGCTCAGTCACTTACGTGTCTGACTCTCTATTTCAGCTCGCATCATCATCTCAGGGTTGTGGGATCAAGCCCCATGTTGGGCTCTGTGCTCAGTGGGGCGTCTGCTGGAGAGTCTCTCCCTCTCCCTCTGCCTTACCCACCCCCCCAAATAAATAAATAAGTCTTAAAAAAAGTACAGGCTTTATAGTCGACTGACCTGGGTTTAACTTGCAACTCTGCTACTTGGAGCCCTTTGTCCTTGGCAGATGTCTTGTTCACTTACCTTTAAACAGAGAGAAAAATTCTTCATAGGGTCAGTATGAGAATTAAGTAACCTAATATATATAAAGTACTTATGCAGTGTGTGAGTGTAGTAAATAATAAATGATAGTTTGGATGACAGTTGTGATGGTGATTATAAGAAATCAGATTTGAAATCACCAATTAGATTTTGGCTCAGTGCTTTTGAAACTAAGGAGGTATAGCTGTGGGAACATAGTCATAGAAATAATAAATTTCAGTCTGTGTACCTTGGTTCCCTAAAATCATTTACCCCAAGCTTTATTATTTTTTTTAAAGATTTTATTTACTTATCTGACAGAGAGAGAGACAGCAAGAGAGGGAACACAAGCAGGGGGAGTGGGAGAGGGAGAAGCAGGCTTCCCACGGAGCAGGGACCTCAATGCGGGGCTCGATACGGGGTTCGATTCCAGGACCCTGGGATCATGACCTGAGCTGAAGGCAGACGCTTAACCACTGAGCCACTCAGGTGCCCCAACCCCAAGCTTTATTTTTAGTTAGAACCCTCACAGAAATGATTGTCTCTGTCCCTCCTCTAAATCGAGTGGCATTCTCAGCTCTCTGGAAAAGCTTGTTGATGAGACACCTTCCTACTTCCTGAGTGCCCTAGGGAAATTTGATTAAAAGATTGAAAGTGGGTGATTATATTAAGCTTTGCCGCGTCTGTTTATGACCATAAGCTGATACTTCTGAGGATGTAAAGGGAGACAAACGAGATGAGGAATAAAGGAAACATTTCTCACTTCTCTTCATTTTAACAACAGCACAACCAAAGATTTAGTAAAAACGAATGTCCTTATAAAAGAAGTTCCTCCAGCCCTGCCTTCCCTGTTCCCTCCTGAGCCAGACTGGTCAGGTCCCTTCTGAAGCATGTAGCATTTTCCCTGCCCAAGTGAGGAGCCCTTTTCCTAGCATTATGACCCTTATTGACTCTCTGCAAAATCACTTAGACTGTTAATTCCTGATCCTTTGGGAATCTTTAAATAATTCCTTCATCTTGAGCCTCATGGGAAAGACCTAACACATCGTACTGGCATATCAGCCCTAAATTGCCTGTGGCATAATGCCAACATCCAGGACAGCTGCTCTGTTATTAGACATAGCAACAGCCTTTAGCATTATGGAGATGATGAACAAATCATGCTAGCATCCAGTATGAATTCTGTATTTCATTTCTTTAGAGAAGTGATTTGTCTCTGCAGTTACTGCTCTAAAATCAGTGCTTGGTCCTGCCCTCCAAAAACCCATACCCCAGCTGTTGGCTTTAAGAGCAGGAATCTTGAAAGGCTTGAGTTTGTGAGAGTCAAGTTAAGGGTAGCCTTAATTTAGCGGAAGGCCCTGCAAAAGGGTGCCAGGGGATTCCCACTGTAACGCTCAGGTTACTCCTTTTGAAATAAAACACCATGGAAAGCATAGCTTTAGTTGAAGGTCAGACAGTCTATTCCACATTGACTTCTCAGATGATGCAGGTGCTTGGAAAATAGTTATAGGAACACCACAGGAAAGGGATCTCCCCCTCAGCATTGGGGTTCGTAATCAGTGTGTCCAGTTTGGAGAACTGTCCCTTCAGGGCTTCAGTGAGGAAAGTTAAAATGTTCCAACTAATGGTCAAAAAAGGAAAGGTGAAGTGAGCAGTTTCCAGGAAGAGTTTATGAGGCAAAGTGACAGGGCAGTGGCCTCTGAGTAGGTGTCTTTTCCAGAACATGATAGAACCTGGCCTTGGTGGTGGTGGTGCCTTTGGAGTCTGCCTGTACTTGCTGAGGAATCTGGGTCACCGTCCTTACAAAGCCGTTTGGCAGAACCCTGTTCTCACAGAGAAGGGCTGTCCTGTTGGCAGGTTATGAATAGTCGGACTGTGTAAAGGGAGGCCCTCTTCCATTCCCACCCTCATGGAAGAAAAAATGAAATCAATCGTTCATGCCTACACTGATTTGTCTTGTGCCTGGATCTGTGAATATGTGAGTTTGGGAAAGATAAGGGTAGCATGTGAACTGTGAAAAGGAGGGAGTCAGTCTAGCAAAGGATCAAAAACAAATGTGACTCAGCAAGGTGACCAGGAAAATAAGTACTCTTTGTGTTTCCAGGAACTGCATCCTCCATGCCCTTGCTGTCAGTTGAAGATGACCAAATTTATGTCCCAGCAATAACTCAAAATGCAGTTAATGCTTGGCTGGCCCAGTACCTGCAGTGATAGTGACATCTTCCTGGTTGGAGTCCTCTAACGAACCTCCCAGTACTCTCCACTGAAAGGCCCGCTGTCTATTCCCTCCTTTACCTCACATTACCACCTCCGAGCAACCCCCCCCCCCCACCATCCTCCGTTCTGGAGGAGCCATCAAGTAATAATACAATTCACACTTCCTGCAGCTCCACCCGCCACCACAGACCCTAGCCAGAGCCTGCTCTCAACAGTCATTAGGGTGTCCCCCGATCAGAGCCTCCCTCTATCAAGCCTTTGTGTGCTGCCAGCTCTCTGTCCCACCTGTGCTTTTGTACCATCCCTCTACCCTCCATCAAGGAAGAAGACACAGAGAACCTGGCCATTTGCATACCTGCCCTTTATTGGACACATCTAGCAGGCTGGCTCTAAGCCCTTCACACTTCTCAGACACCGCCCATACGGTTTAGGAAGGTGCCATCATTCTGTGAAGGCCCAGAGCCACCCAAGTCTTGGAGCTCCAAGTAGAATCACCAACCGGAAGGTTGGGGGAAGGAAGGGAGACGGGGGGACTGGAAGGGCAAGGCTCTTCAAGGGGAAGCTTTGGTCCAGCAGTGTCTCCTGCGGGAGACACTGACCCTAAGGAAAGATACCAGGGGTGGGATGGAG